CTGTAGCGACACAACGAACAGGAGAAGGGTATGAATGGGGTGAGTGATGTTTGTACTGTGTACCCTGTTCCATGTGGGTGAGTCATGTTTGTACTGTGTACCCTGCTCCGTACGGTGAGTGATGTTTGTACTGTGTACTCTGTTCCATGGGGGTGAGTGATGTTTGTACTGTGTACCCTGTTCCTGTTCCATGGGGGTGAGTGATGTTTGTACTGTGTACCCTGTTCCATGTGGGTGAGTCATGTTTGTACTGTGTACCCTGCTCCGTACGGTGAGTGATGTTTGTACTGTGTACTCTGTTCCATGGGGGTGAGTGATGTTTGTACTGTGTACCATGTTCCTGTTCCATGGGGGTGAGTGATGTTTGTACTGTGTACCCTGTTCCATGGGGGTGAGTGATGTTTGTACTGTGTACCCTGTTCCATGGGGGTGAGTGATGTTTGTACTGTGTACCCTGTTCCATGGGGGTGAGTGATGTTTGTACTGTGTACCCTGTTCCTGTTCCATGGGGGTGAGTGATGTTTGTACTGTGTACCCTGTTCCATGGGGGTGAGTGATGTTTGTACTGTGTACCCTGTTCCTGTTCCATGGGGATGAGTGATGTTTGTACTGTGTACCCTGTTCCATGGGGGTGAGTGATGTTTGTACTGTGTACCCTGTTCCATGGGGGTGAGTGATGTTTGTACTGTGTACCCTGTTCCATGGGGGTGAGTGATGTTTGTACTGTGTACCCTGTTCCATGGGGGTGAGTGATGTTTGTACTGTGTACCCTGTTCCATGGGGGTGAGTGATGTTTGTACTGTGTACCCTGTTCCATGGGGGTGAGTGATGTTTGTACTGTGTACCCTGTTCCATGAGGGTGAGTGATGTTTGTACTGTGTACCCTGTTCCATGGGGGTGAGTGATGTTTGTACTGTGTACCCTGTTCCATGGCGGTGAGTGATGTTTGTACTGTGTACCCTGTTCCATGGGGGTGAGTGATGTTTGTACTGTGTACCCTGTTCCATGGGGGTGAGTGATGTTTGTACTGTGTACCCTGTTCCATGGGGGTGATTGATGTTTGTACTGTGTACCCTGTTCCTGTTCCATGGGGGTGAGTGATGTTTGTACTGTGTACCCTGTTCTATGGGGGTGAGTGGTGTTTGTACTGTGTACCCTGTTCCTGTTCCATGGGGGTGAGTGATGTTTGTACTGTGTACCCTGTTCCATGGGGGTGAGTGATGTTTGTACTGTGTACCCTGTTCCATGGGGGTGAGTGATGTTTGTACTGTGTACCCTGTTCCATGGGGGTGAGTGATGTTTGTACTGTGTACCCTGTTCCATGAGGGTGAGTGATGTTTGTACTGTGTACCCTGTTCCATGGGGGTGAGTGATGTTTGTACTGTGTACCCTGTTCCATGGGGGTGAGTGATGTTTGTACTGTGTACCCTGTTCCATGGGGGTGAGTGATGTTTGTACTGTGTACCCTGTTCCATGGGGGTGAGTGATGTTTGTACTGTGTACCCTGTTCCATGAGGGTGAGTGATGTTTGTACTGTGTACCCTGTTCCTGTTCCATGGGGGTGAGTGATGTTTGTACTGTGTACCCTGTTCCATGGGGGTGATTGATGTTTGTACTGTGTACCCTGTTCCTGTTCCATGGGGGTGAGTGATGTTTGTACTGTGTACCCTGTTCCATGGGGGTGAGTGATGTTTGTACTGTGTACCCTGTTCCATGGGGGTGAGTGATGTTTGTACTGTGTACCCTGTTCCATGGGGGTGAGTGATGTTTGTACTGTGTACCCTGTTCCATGGGGGTGAGTGATGTTTGTACTGTGTACCCTGTTCCATGGGGGTGAGTGATGTTTGTACTGTGTACCCTGTTCCTGTTCCATGGGGGTGAGTGATGTTTGTACTGTGTACCCTGTTCCATGGGGGTGAGTGATGTTTGTACTGTGTACCCTGTTCCATGGGGGTGAGTGATGTTTGTACTGTGTACCCTGTTCCATGGTGGTGAGTGATGTTTGTACTGTGTACCCTGTTCCTGTTCCATGGGGGTGAGTGATGTTTGTACTGTTCACCCTGTTCCATGGGGGTGAGTGATGTTTGTACTGTGTACCCTGTTCCTGTTCCATGGGGGTGAGTGATGTTTGTACTGTGTACCCTGTTCCATGGGGGTGAGTGATGTTTGTACTGTGTACCCTGTTCCATGGGGGTGAGTGATGTTTGTACTGTGTACCCTGTTCCTGTTCCATGGGGGTGAGTGATGTTTGTACTGTGTACCCTGTTCCATGGGGTGAGTGATGTTTGTACTGTGTACCCTGTTCCTGTTCCATGGCGGTGAGTGATGTTTGTACTGTGTACCCTGTTCCATGGGGGTGAGTGATGTTTGTACTGTGTACCCTGTTCCATGGGGTGAGTGATGTTTGTACTGTGTACCTTGTTCCATGGGGGTGAGTGATGTTTGTACTGTGTACCCTGTTCCATGGGGGTGAGTGATGTTTGTACTGTGTACCCTGTTCCTGTTCCATGAGGGTGAGTGATGTTTGTACTGTGTACCCTGTTCCTGTTCTATGGGGGTGAGTGATGTTTGTACTGTGTACCCTGTTCCATGGGGGTGAGTGATGTTTGTACTGTGTACCCTGTTCCATGGGGGTGGGTGATGTTTGTACTGTGTACCCTGTTCTATGGGGGTGAGTGATGTTTGTACTGTGTACCCTGTTCCATGTGGGTGAGTGATGTTTGTACTGTGTACCCTGTTCCATGGGGGTGAGTGATGTTTGTACTGTGTACCCTGTTCCATGGGGGTGAGTGATGTTTGTACTGTGTACCCTGTTCCTGTTCAATGGGGGTGAGTGATGTTTGTACTGTGTACCCTGTTCCATGGGGGTGAGTGATGTTTGTACTGTGTACCCTGTTCCTGTTCCATGGGGGTGAGTGATGTTTGTACTGTGTACCCTGTTCCATGGGGGTGAGTGATGTTTGTACTGTGTACCCTGTTCCATGGGGGTGAGTGATGTTTGTACTGTGTACCCTGTTCCATGGGGGTGAGTGATGTTTGTACTGTGTACCCTGTTCCTGTTCCATGAGGGTGAGTGATGTTTGTACTGTGTACCCTCTTCCTGTTCCATGGGGGTGAGTGATGTTTGTACTGTGTACCCTGTTCCATGGGGGTGAGTGATGTTTGTACTGTGTACCCTGTTCCTGTTCCATGGGGGTGAATGATGTTAGTACTGTGTACCCTGTTCCTGTTCTATGAGGGTGAGTGATGTTTGTACTGTGTACCCTGTTCCTGTTCCATGGGGGTGAGTGATGTTTGTACTGTGTACCCTGTTCCATGGGGGTGAGTGATGTTTGTACTGTGTACCCTGTTCCTGTTCCATGGGGGTGAGTGATGTTTGTACTGTGTACCCTGTTCCATGGGGGTGAGTGATGTTTGTACTGTGTACCCTGTTCCTGTTCCATGGGGGTGAGTGATGTTTGTACTGTGTACCCTGTTCCATGGGGGTGAGTGATGTTTGTACTGTGTACCCTGTTCCATGGGGGTGAGTGATGTTTGTACTGTGTACCCTGTTCCTGTTCCATGGGGGTGAGTGATGTTTGTACTGTGTACCCTGTTCCTGTTCCATGAGGGTGAGTGATGTTTGTACTGTGTACCCTGTTCCATGGGGGTGAGTGATGTTTGTACTGTGTACCCTGTTCCTGTTCCATGGGGGTGAGTGATGTTTGTACTGTGTACCCTGTTCCTGTTCCATGAGGGTGAGTGATGTTTATACTGTGTACCATGTTCCTGTTCTATGGGGGTGAGTGATGTTTGTACTGTGTACCCTGTTCTATGAGGGTGAGTGATGTTTGTACTGTGTACCCTGTTCCTGTTCCATGGGGGTGAGTGATGTTTGTACTGTGTACCCTGTTCCATGGGGGTGAGTGATGTTTGTACAGTGTACCCTGTTCCATGGGGGTGAGTGATGTTTGTACTGTGTACCCTATTCCTGTTCCATGGGGGTGAGTGATGTTTGTACTGTGTACCCTGTTCCTGTTCCATGAGGGTGAGTGATGTTTGTACTGTGTACCCTGTTCCATGGGGGTGAGTGATGTTTGTACTGTGTACCCTGTTCCTGTTCCATGGGGGTGAGTGATGTTTGTACTGTGTACCCTGTTCCATGGGGGTGAGTGATGTTTGTACTGTGTACCCTGTTCCTGTTCCATGGGGGTGAGTGATGTTTGTACTGTGTACCCTGTTCCATGGGGGTGAGTGATGTTTGTACTGTGTACCCTGTTCCATGGGGGTGAGTGATGTTTGTACTGTGTACTCTGTTCCATGGGGGTGAGTGATGTTTGTACTGTGTACCCTGTTCCTGTTCCATGGGTGTGAGTGATGTTTGTACTGTGTACCCTGTTCCATGTGGGTGAGTGATGTTTGTACTGTGTACCCTGTTCCATGGGGGTGAGTGATGTTTGTACTGTGTACCCTGTTCCATGGGGGTGAGTGATGTTTGTACTGTGTACCCTGTTCCTGTTCCATGGGGGTGAGTGATGTTTGTACTGTGTACCCTGTTCCATGAGGATGAGTGATGTTTGTACTGTGTACCCTGTTCCATGGGGGTGAGTGATGTTTGTACTGTGTACCCTGTTCCTGTTCCATGGGGGTGAGTGATGTTTGTACTGTGTACCCTGTTCCATGGGGGTGAGTGATGTTTGTACTGTGTACCCTGTTCCATGGGGGTGAGTGATGTTTGTACTGTGTACCCTGTTCCATGGGGGTGAGTGATGTTTGTACTGTGTACACTGTTCCTGTTCCATGAGGGTGAGTGATGTTTGTACTGTGTACCCTGTTCCATAGGGGTGAGTGATGTTTGTACTGTGTACCCTGTTTCATGGGGTTGAGTGATGTTTGTACTGTGTACCCTGTTTCATGGGGGTGAGTGATGTTTGTACTGTGTACCCTGTTCCATGGGGGTGAGTGATGTTTGTACTGTGTACCCTGTTCCTGTTCCATGGGGGTGAGTGATGTTTGTACTG